ACATACTTTAATTGTTAGGTACATGTATGACATTCATACTATATCTATGCCATTTTAAGTGAAATTCCTTGAACTAGTACTGATATTGGAAATGCATATTTCCATCTGTATACGTATACATTAATGTTAAGTTTTATAAATATGTATATATAATATTTATATCAACTGTTCATGAAATGCTGCCATATATGTATGTTACCATTGTATAATAGTTTATGGAAGAGGACGTTTCTAAGTTGTTTAACTTGTGTCCAATTCCATTTGATTTTTTTCAAATAATATATGTTTAAACTAAAAACACAAAAATTCGGTCAAGTCCACCTATTTACTTTAAAATCGGAAATCGGAAACTTACTATTTTGCATACTAAAATATAAGCTCCGACACCAGTGCAGTTCCCTTAATTATGACCTTTTTAGAGTTAACCTTGTTGAGAGTGCATCTTTTAATTGTGGTCATCCTTGTGAGAATGTCTTTCACTATTTTATTGAATGTCACCTTTTTACAAACGAAAGACGTATTTTGGTTCAAAATTTGATTCATTTGAATGTTGCGTTAAATTTAGAAATTCTTTTGTTTGGCAATTCACAATTTTCCGTGGACCTTAACTCAAACATTTTTAGATCTGTGCAAAACTTCACTGAATCAAGCAAGAGATTTTGAATTTTGTCATTTAAAATGTATATTGGGAGAAGGCGTTGATAAGTTGTTACAACTTGTGCCTATAATCCCTTGTCTAATTTTGGCAATAACTATGTTTAAACTTAACTAAAACCCTCCTATTATATAGCAACACCTGTGTGATATGCAGATGTTCACTAATATCACGGACTCCTAATCTAATTCCGTGCTATTATCTCATTAAATCATTTTGAGTATAGTACTTTAAATTTAGTGCCTGTGATATCTAATTTTACTGGCTGATTATAATGTGCTAGCTTTCTGTGATAGTGTATAGCTTGTTTGTTGTTTTCTGTTTGCTTTTTATCATATTTATCGCAAAAATAGCGCTAATTTTTCTCTGTTTGATATACTATATGCGACGTTACATAAAGTTTCTTATATCTTGTTTGCCTATCAATGAGACAAATAATATTAACATGAACGTAACCGAACGCGTTTTGGAACTCTTTGTTGTGAAAACCAAAGTATTGCTATAACCTTTGACCTAATTATAATCAGAAAAATGATGTCTGCACGTGTACAATGTTAGTTGACGTTACTGTCGCACACGTAAAGTGTTCATGCTGTCATACCCGTGACAGTCTCCTGCCGAACACATAGGACTTGATCGGAGAAATGAAAAGGGCTTAATCAGGAAATGAACGAAGGACCGACTCAATAATTACTATTCTCTAGCTCTCTCTCTGCCCTCGAACTCGACAGCAGGTGATTATAAACTCGTACACATACTGACATAAAACATCATGACGTTAACGTGTACATTCGTACATACTGACATATATCATCACGTGACCAGTTTCTGATCCCTTAAGGCGAAATTGCCAAGTAAACAAATATATACAGACAGCAATGTGCATACTTTGTTTATAAAGACTTTAAGGGCTGTCAGTTACTCCAACAATGTTAGAGGTTTTACACGGCGAAAAACTTTTGACAGGCGCCGTCGCAGTCCGCATAATCATATCCGATTGAAAAAAGGCCGACCAGCGGCCTCTCATGTTATGGGAGTAGGCTGTCAGTATGCAATTCACTTCATTTACTCAACAGTGACATATATTTGATATATATTCAATCACATCACCATCATTGAATATCCCTGCATAATGGTCAGCATTTAGGGTAAAGGCAACAACGAACTGGTTCGCCTGTTGCCGGTAGAATGTGACTGGGTGGAATGCTGTGCTGGCAATGGGTGGGTGCCTTCAGCATGGTATATCTATCAGTGACTGATGTACATGTAGCACTATATATATGTACAAGTCGGCGTCAGATTTTTACTTTCATTATTATAAAGTAATACCACAGACTTAGATAACTAATTCCGTGGTAATATATACCCTGCCATGAATGCATGCATTACTCATAAGGAGGCTTGTCCTTAATGACCATGCAAGCTAATATAATTAGCTGTTGATAGGATGTTAAACCGTACAAAACCAAAACTTTGAATAATGCCATTTTGTGATTAAAGCTTTGATTCCAAAATTTGGCATAGGACATTTACTCAAAGGACAGGTTATATACTGATACTATGCATAGAGTATATCTTTACTTTTTTTGCAAGACAGATATCTTTGATAAACTTACATTAACTTGAAATAAAATGGGTATTTACAGAAAAAAACAACATTATAAGGATATCATACTTTTTGGCATTGTATGTTTCATTATGGATATTCAGTACACCATTGATGGTTGCAAAACAGAATTCTGAGTCTTTAACATACTAACTACTTAAGTTAAAACTTGAGTTGTCTGTGTATACTGACGAATCAAGTCTACTCGACTATCTACGTTACTGCTGATAGTGTGTATTTTAAATTCCACATGCATGATGTTCGAGTATTATAACAATTCTTTATCATCTTAAGATACAGAATGGAGAGCCAAGAGTTTTATCACCGCCTCCCAAAAGTGGTAAGTCTTTTTACCTGTATAGGAAATATGATATTCATTTATGTATGTATGAATGTAAAACCCATTCCATCTTGTCTGTCTTGAAGATCTAGAATGTAGATATCTTATCCAAAGTCAGTGTCAATACTTATGTCTTTTTTAACAGATTCTGTTTTTTAAAATGTTCCAATGAGAATTTATTTCAGTATGATTATTATATTATCTATATCAACTATTACACTGTACCTTGAAATTTTTCATGTAAAAGAAATCATTGATTAATTGTTAGGCCAGCAAAAAATATAGTTTGTTTCTGGTATAACCCTACCTACCTTAATTTTTAAGTGAATACCCTTTACTTTTTTAGTCAGTTTTTAAAGAAGCACTGTTAAAATCAAGCTCACTCTATATAAGCCAAGTAGAACTATTTAAAAAAAAATGTTATATCTACCAACTTAACTCAATTTTGCAAACATGTTACGCCTTACGGGAAACACACCTTTTTTGTTTGGCCTTATTAGTTTTCAATAAGTATCAATGTCAAATTACAAGAACTTACCGCTCTTGAATAAGATGAATGGTATGGAAAAATACAACATAGATGTATTACTTAACGAGGCTTTTTTTTAATTTGGGAAGGGACCTTTTTTGTATAATTTTTGGAAGAAAATAGCAGTATATACCAATTGGAAAGGATCTTTTTAGGAGAAAACCGCAAAGTTTGAGAATTAGGCATAAATATGGAATAAGTTTAAATTTTCATCATCCCAAAAAAGTCTCCAGAAAAAGACATATTACTAAAAAAATTACATTGTCTAATTAACACTGATATTTATAACCATTTAAAAGTAGTGTTATTTTAAGTTCATTGCGGACAGTAGAAAAGTCTTTGATGCAAACAGATTAGTACCATGATTATGGTTTTCAATAAATTGTGCATTAAGTTTTGAGCATACGTTTCTTTAGAAACTTAATAGTTTTTGATAATCTGAAGTAATCAGCAGTCCAAAATTGATTTGTTTAAAAACAGGAACTTCATGCTCATATCAATGGCTCCATCAGTGAGGACACAATAAAAAAACTATTGAAGAAAAAGGGACGAGAGGAGGAGGGTGCAAATGTGCGATTTAACAAGGAACAGACAGAACCACTGGAGGAGTAAGTGGATTAATTTCTTTCAATGAAATTGATTAGAGGCATTACTTTCTGAGGGGAGTAACTTCTACATACATTGTAGAAATAGTACTGCTTGATTTTATTAAAGAAAGGTTTGTTTTTAGTAGTAAATGTGCATGTTTGAAATAGGAATTAAACTACAATAATATTTTTTGAAAGGTAAAAAGAAATCACAAACCATAGGTGCTTGTATCTACCGCCTTGAATTAAAATCCAAAATCTGTGACGTACACACAATACAACTGTGTGTACATTGTAGGCATTAGAAATACCAGATACAAACACCTATGCACAAAATGAGAGCTGTTTAAGTTTGTTACAATAACATTTAAGCTGCTTACGTGGTTGTTTTTGTTTGTTATTTTTTTTATTTCTATGTCGATTTTTTTTCCAGTTCTTTCAAAAGATTGAAGTTGATGCAGACATTATCAAACTGTGCAGAAGACATTTATATTGTAAGTAATACAAACCTTCCTTATCTGGACTGTGCTGGTTTGATGTTACATTTCATCTTTTATTTAATTCATAATTATTTATGTACATTATGACTGATGTTTTGTTCCAAGCTGTTCATGTGACAGACTTATATAAGTGGCAGTCTAATTACTGTTTGCTGATTGCCTGATAAAAATGTATTAATAATTAAAGAAAATACTGTCTAAACTAACATAATGGAGAAAAATGTTTATGTAAGTAGAGTTTAAGCCCAAAAAGATGAGTCCTGGAGGAAAATTCTGCTTTGCATATTAATTAAGTTGCTTAAAACAGAGATAGTCTGACCCATTTTCTACTGTACACTGACCTTGGACAGTTATTTCCCTGTTATGTTTGTGTACTTCTACATTTAAACAAAAACAATCATAAGTTTCTGTGATAAAGCAAATTAGGGTAAATTCATTTATTTTGTATAAAGACAAAGTTTTAAAAAAAAATAGAAATGTGCGCAATTTGACATTGAATTTATTTGGGTAATGTTTGTACAGATAACTTGTGATGTGATTCAAGAATTTGCCTCCGATAATGTAAAATATCTTGAGCTGAGGAGCACTCCAAGGGAGATAACTGCTACAGGCCTGACTCGAGAGTTATATGTGGAGGCTGTGTTGAAGGCCATAAAAGACTCGGCTCACCTGGACATAATTGTCCGTTTCCTCCTCTCAATCGACCGACGACTTGGTGTGGATGTTGCACGAACAACTATGGAACTGGCAGAGCGGTACCAGGACATCAGCAATGGAGTGGTTATGGGGCTCGACTTCAGTGGAGATCCAAAGGTAAAATTTCTAATAAAAAAATTCTTTCGAAAAAACAGTTAAATAGGCCCAAAGGTAAAATATATTTTCTGGGTCTGACCTGTGCAAGATGAAGGTGACTTAACATATCTACCCTGTAGTAGATTTAGGGTCTAAAAGGAAAGTTTGTTGTTATAAACATTTGAAATCAGGGAATTCTTCATTTTCATTTCAATTTTCATTTGTTTTTATAACAATTGATCATTAGATTAAAGTTGGTGACTGTTTCACGATCTCAGCACAGGGTCACGTTACAATCACACATATGCTATACTGATATTGGTCACAACACACATAAACATACATATATATATACACGTGTATGTTTATTTGTGTTGTTACCCATATCAGTATAGCATATGTGTGATTGTAACGTGACCCTGTGCTCTCAGGGTATGTATTGGGTAAAAATTACCTATCTAGTCATGAATTCCACATATTTTTTAGCTTTGAAGCTGAATATTTTTAAACTGTATTGTTTGGTTTTATATGCCTCCCTTGAATACCTATGATATTGCATTTAATATATTAGAATATTATTGTGTGTATATTATACATTACCTGTATATGGCATCAGTGTAATATATCCCTCACCACCAATTGCCCAAAAATGTAAAGGTTAAGAGAGACACAATGAGAAAAAATTAAAAAAAAAAAGGTCTTACTTAAGGAATGATTTTTATTTTTTCAACATTTATGAGGTCATAACAACAATGGGTTTATGGACATATTGAATGAATCGCGCTAGCGATTCATGTAAAATATGTCCAAAAACCCATTGTTGTTATGACCTCATAAATGTTGAAAAAATAAATATCATTCCTTATATTTACATTGACGAATCCTTTCAGTGGATCGATATAACAACGAATAAAACAAATAAACAGGGTTTGTTCCTGCTTATACACGGGTGCAACGCAGTGGCGAGAACAGTGTTTTTTCGCGGGGAAATGTGACACTATCGTGAGAGATCTTAGCAACCGTCAACAACAATAACACAACAAAATGTAGTTCCATATTCAATGTTTATTTGTAGCACAGGACACGTGAATACGTGGATATTTCACAAAGCACAGTTCAATAATATTTTAAGATGTAAGAATTAAGCATCTAGGTCGGTCGTTCCGAGTGAGTAGTTTTTGTAGTGTATTACTACGCAGTGTGATCAGGTTACTATCAGTTCCCACGTGCTGAGATTCTATGAACACCTGTGTTATGCATTTATGAATGTAATTTTTGTCAATGGGTCTAAGCATACAGAATGTAAATATATATAAATACAAACTTATTACAGTTTTCTGCATAATTTTTTGTAAGTATGTTGAGATTTAGAATACATATAATATTTAAATATAATGTCAATCACAGTTAATTGCAGCTTTGAACATTAGGAGTATATTGCATTTTGAAGGTTTGGATTGATATTTTTACAGTGTTTGATATTTTTTGGCTTGTTAAAACTTTTATCTGATTATGTACATGTATATAGCATGAACAATATTCGTAAGCTTGTCTCGATAAATTTTAGTAACTGGTCACAAGAAAATAACATCAAACCAAGTTATAATACTGGTTAATCCAAGAATTCGGTTATCAACAATAAATATAAACAAACACAAACGGTCTATGTTTTAGTTTACCAAACATTATGTTCAAGACACTTCACTCAAAATTAATGTATTGTACATAAAGATATGTGTTGATTAGCAGGATTGTTTATTTACGTAGGCCAAATTTTCAACACCTGTGTCATCGATTTGTGGTCTTCCGCCCATGTTACTGGGTGGCAACTTGTTGACGACTCTAATAATTAATTAGCCAAAATAATTAATTAGCCAAAATGTATCTTGTTTAGCAGTAAACAACATTGCAGAATTAATTACCCCACAAGTGCCTCTTACAGGATGCAATGGTGGAGAGTTTATATACATATAACTAAAACAGACAAATTCCTTTGTCTGTGCTTTTGTTATTACTTCTTTGCTTATATATATCTATTTAAGTAATACTTATCCAACAGTCATTTGTTTGTTCGGATCAAGTCACAGTGTCAGATATAGTACATACGTTGACTTGAGATAGCAGAGTTATTATCAAGTATTGAATTCTTCTTTTTTTAGGTTATCAGTAGTCCTTCAATGATCTGAAGATCATTTACTGCGCAGCGTGGCCTATGTATAGGATAAATCTCGAGCAAACGTTGGTTAAGTGATTTGGAAGCACAGCCTGTCGAGGGCCGATAGGCCCGAGACAGGGTGCTTCCAATCACTTAACCAACGTTTGCGAGCGATTTATCCTACTTAAAAACTTTCATATCCCAATTGGACCCCTAAACCTGGTATAGGTGGACAGTTGGATAAACAGTGAATGGAGTTGTTTACCTGTGTTGTTCACACCTGTAAAATGCACTCACTGACACAAACACATATAACCCCAAGGCATTAATAAATGCTGATGGTATCAAAATGCGATCCAAATGGAATTGATATGAGCTGAGGTGTTCCGAGTACAAAGGTACCTGTCAGATATTTCCAAGGTCATTTCTGTTGCCAAGATGTCCAGTTCAGCTGACAATGTTTTTATTACGCAATCAACATTTACTAGTAAACGACCAGAATCCGATAGAGATACAGACGGAATGTTAAGCGATGTGCTTGATATGGAGCTCAACAAAGAGAACGTACCGGATTTCAATATGAACTACACATTTAACACTGTAAGACAGGAAGAGTTTAGTGACATTTCCGACACGGAACTGCAAACTCACCGGTGCGGAACAGGAGCAAGTAGCCTGTTCTGTTATAACACAAGGCACGAAACGGAAAACGTCTGGTCACAGTGAGGACACAGGTATCGGTGGCAACAGCAATTTGTGCATCAAAATTCGTAAAGGGGATGTGTTGGTGGAAATCCCTGTTTGAATATATATACTGTGAAATACGTAAAGCGGATGTGTTTGTGAAAACTTGAAACTTCGGCTAAGTGCATTGTACGTGTATATATTACAACGGCTGACTACCGTGTACCACCAGGTATTAAAGTTGGAATTAAAATTACATTTACTATCTTTCATATTTATTTGTTATCGTTTTCTTTGTTTATCTGTGTTTGTGTCTACAAACCCTATTCAACAGATGGGCATTCTGGGTGCGTTTGACATGACCCTGTGTGACCTGTTGGATAAGTGGAGATCCATTCATTAAATATCCAACCGCTAGCCGATAGTATGAATAGGTCACTACTTATCCAGCAGTCACTCAACATATCCAACGCCTAGCCGTTGGATAGTATGAATAGGTCACTACTTATCCAGCAGTCACTCAACTTATCCAACGCCTAGCGGTTGAATAGATGAAATAGTCAGTTTGTAAACACAATAGGTGATGTAATCGAAAGTTTTTAAATATATATTTACAATAATACAAAAATAATGAAAATGAATGAATTTGGAGTGCATAAATATTAAATTGTGATTAAAACTATGTACATAGGCTTATAATGAATTAAATGAATTTGTGCAGAACAGCTGGTGTGAGCTCTGAAAGTGTCGACTGTTGTGACAGTGACTGTATGGGATGGTACATAATACATTCCATTGAGTTATGGTATAAGGAAAAAATAAAAATTTATATGAATCTTTTTTGGTTGAAATGTGTCTGAAAGTGACATTATGATTTATGCGGGTTTTACTGTCTGATGGTATGAGTATAGCAGATGGGATTGCTACGGTTTGATGGACTATTTTGTAGAACATTATTAATATTGTGCGTATAGTCTTCTTTCTTGTAGTGTTGGCCAGTTTAATGAATTTATCATATCTGTAGGACTACTGATGTTATGGTACCTGTTACAGACATATCTGGCAGCTCGTCGTTGGACCGTCTCAATTTTAGAAGTTTGTTCAACTGCGTGAGGGTCCCATACTGTACATGAATATTCAAGTTTTGGTCGAACTAGCGCCAGATATGCCTGAGTCTTGATGTTCTGACATGATGTTTTTAAATTCCTTAAGATTTGTTGCCATTAGCTATGATGTTGTCTGTATGTTTTGACCATTTTAAGTTTGCTTGTAGTGTAATGCCCAGATACTTAGCTGAAAAGACCAGTTCAAGTTTGTGATTGTGGAGGATATAGTCATGTTTAAACTGGTTTTTTCTTTTGTGAGACTGTAAGTAATGTGCATTTGTCTGGATGGAAAGCCATCAACCAGTCCCGCTCCCACCTAGCAGCTGCATCTAAATCCAACTGTAGTGCATCACAGTCACTTTGGGTTTTGATGGTTTTGTAGATGATACTGTCATCGGCAAACAGTCTGAGCTTACTGGATGATAAGTATTCTGGTAGATCATTAATGTATACCAAGAATAATACTGGGCCCATGCAGAACTATGACTTGAGGGACACCTGAGGTGACTGGAGCCCGGTCAGATGACTCTCCATCCAGGATAACTGTTTGTGTTCTGTTACTTAAGAAGGCGGAGACCCAGTTTAGTGTTTCGTTTTAGATACCGTAGTAGTTTAATTTATAGAGCAACTTTTATGAGGAACTTTGTCAAAGGCTTTGGCAAAGTCAAACTTAATTAAGTCTGTTTGTGTGTTGCTGTTATTATTTGCGGCGAGGTCTTGAATGAATGAAATTAGTTGCGTTTCACAGGATCTAGACTGACGGAAGCCATGAATTAGATTATGGCTGGCGTAAACATACTTATGATGATGGCAAAACTCAAGGATTTAGATTGTTATATATTACAATTTTACTCATAATTCTCTCTCTTAATATCTCATCTGTAAATAAACAAAATGAAGGGTGTGTACCAATGGATTGTTTTTGTAAAATGAGTACAAAGCATTATAAGCTTTGGCTGACTAAATTATGACTATATGTTACTAAGGATTAGACAATTCATGTAATATACGGTTATATGTCAGCTCACAAATTACATATTTCTATTTTTTTCTTTGATCAGGAAAATATATACAGTACATATGTTGCTTGTAATTATATGTATAAAATCATTGCTGCATCTATTTAAAATGTATTAAAAGAAAAATGTGTTAATGGGTTTTGGGTAAGTTAACTAACTATACTTATAAGGAACTCTAACGTGTAATAATTACACACATTTTTCCAGACAACAGCTGTAGTTATACCTCTATCCTGAATTACACTTACTGTATATACACAAGTTTGATACGTGTGGGTATCCACTCTGGGAGAGTATTTGAATGAAGCAGCTTTCGAAATACTCAAATTAGCAAGTCATAAAACTGTCTTGAGAGACTATCAGTCTGTAGGGAATCATGAACCTGTCTAGAAAGACCACAGTCTGTAGTCAGTAATGAAACTGCATAGAAAGACCATATGCAGTAGGTATGAACCTGTCTAGACAGACCATCAGTGTGTAATGAAACTGACTTGAGATACCAGTCTGAGTGAGTCATTGACCTGTCTAAAGAGACTGGAAATCTTTGATGAGATCTGTACCTGACTAGATACATTTAGACTACCAGTGTTATGTGAATTGAACCTGTCTGAAGAGACCACCAATCATTTGTGCAATAGGAACTGGTATAAAGATACCTACAATCTCGAGTAATATGTGAACCTGTCAAGAGAAACTTTTCTCCCTTACTTGCTTGTGGAAGACAGGAATTGACCTGTGAAGAGATAAACCCGTCTTTCCCAAGGCTACATGTGCTATGACGTCATGACGCTATGATGTCACTCCGACACTGATTAACTGATGAAAGGAAATATTGCTGCCAGGCAAGTCCACCAAATCACTTCAACGTTTGAAATAGTTACGTTGTTTTGGCTGTGAAATTTTCATTAATTTTGTACTTATCCCCTTGCAACGAAATTTCGACAGGATATAGGATTCCACCCCTGTTACACTCTATGTCATCGCATTATTGACTTCATCCTCAAGGACATTTTATGAAACTTCATACAAGTGTTTGGTATGACAAAACCTTGAACCAGTTCGCATTTCAGGTTTCTATGTGAAGGTCAAGGTCACTGCTACTATTTTTAGAGAAAAAAATTGTCATCACTCTATTGACTTCATTCCTCAAGGGAATTTCATGAAACTTCATGCCAGTGTGTAATATGACAATACCTTGAACAAGTTCGTGTTTGGGTTTCAACGTTGAAGGTCAAGGTCACTGTTCCTACTTTTAGAAAAACTTTGTCATCGGTCTACCCATTTCTTTCCTCAATTGAATTTCATGAAACTTCATACAAGTGTTTGGTATGGCAAAATCTTTAACAAGTTCGTGTTTCAGGTTACTACGTTAAAGGTCAAGGTCACTTTTACTATTTTCAGAAAAACATCGCTCTAGCAAATTCATTTCCTTTTACATATGTCACAATGTGTGAATGCGACGGGATTTGTATCACTTGTGATGCCTTGGTTTAAGATATATATACAAGAATTGTTAGATTATTAAATAAGTATATTGTAAACGTTGTGCTTTAAATGAATTTCTGATTTTATGTTATGGGTTTATCACCCCTACATAACATAATTGTATTCATGCGCATCATGACAGGTACATGTACTAGCCTCGTCTGTCAATACACCTGTAATGTGATGGGTGTATTGACAGACGAGGCTAGTACCAGCTGTGGCATCATGGAATACAAGCATATGAAGATCACAGAGTATTGACACTGGCATGTTTATTTCGAGTATGGGAGAAAAAGAATCAAACATGATAGAAACATCTCGGGTAAGAGTTTGGCTGTCCAGCTCTTTTTTCATAATCTTACATCACCAATGATATCTTTTAAGGAAGTGCTTTTTTAGGCTTCTTAATTATGAAAATCATTAGGAGATGATTTTAGTTCCTGAAACAGGACTGTTTGTTGAGATGTTCTTTCCTGGTCTAATTGATGTATGGATATCGTTGATGCTAATAATTGACAGAACTTTATCTCGATATATTTGTTCTGTGTTCTGTCCAGTTGTATCTTATCTAAATTGACTAAGTCTACCAGTCTTAATATATCCATCCAGATAATTTTGTTAATTTTTCCCAGCGTATGAAACCATGTATACAGCCTTCTTTACTAGTCCTAAGGTTAATATATAACCATGTTAACTAGTGAAATGTAACTCCATGTTTATTAGCCTTAACCCATTCACCCCTTCAATTTTAAACTGTACCTGGCCAGTCTTCGATTTGACTTTAGGGGTGTATGGGTTAATGTTGTCATACTGCCATGTTAACTAGTCCCACCTTTACTTTGTAACTACATGTATCATGTTTATCAGTCCTAGCATTACATACATGTGTGCTTACAACCATATACATTAGGCCTACCATAATCATACTGCAATGTTAGCTAAACAGTCCAAACGTTACATTATAGCTATATGTATGTTTTATAGTCCTATTCTTACCATACAGCCATGTACATTAGTCCTAATTCAGCTCTAAATGAATATTGCAGCCATGCAGGTATAGAAATCTTAATTAAAAATAAATAATTATACATTGATGTTCATTTGTCCTAATTCATTATTAAACAATGTTCCTAAAGAAAAAGAAAAGAAAATACTTCTATGGAGTTAGGTAGTCTATTCAATGATATAATGATGAATTGAAAAAGATGCAAACTAATCAAAATTTCCCTCTCCCCCCCCNCTCCCCATTTACTGATATGTCACGTTATATCAGTAAACGGGAGCGATGTTAAGATATGATTTTAATTATATTGCATCATTACAAACTCAGATGGTAAAACAGTAAAACATTCTAATGGTTGGTTTGTATTTAATGTTTTGATATAATGTTGTCTTTCAAGTGCAGTAAAAGACCTCTCCTTTAGCACCTGTTTCCTCATTTAGACATTAAGTGTACCGTGTAGAAATGTGTTATCAGCGGCCAAATCTTAACAGTTACAGCTACAACTGGACATGTAAAGGACCTGGGCCCGTATTCATAAAACCATTCTTGTCCTCAAGCATGGATTTTGTGCTCAAACTGACTTTCTTATAACTCACTTAAATCATGTAAAACAATCAAAAAGTCAAATGTATACATTATAAAACAGTATTTGGCTTAATGTCTATTTTTTTTCTAAATCATTGGCAAAATAAATTCTCATTGCTAATTCATAAACAGAACAAGAAGTTAATTAGGCTTGAGCACAAAATCCATGCTTGAGGACAAGAATGGTTTCATGAATACGGGCTCTGCATTCTACAAAGTGTCAAAATCTCCTTTCAAATGTACTAGCCTGATCAGCTAGAGGGAGTTTCCCTTTATTTCAGCAGAAGGGCTAGTGCACACATGTCCAACTAGAAACATTGGGGTTTGGGATTCGATCCCAAACACACATTCATTTTTCATTTTTTCCTTCCTCTTCCACAAAAATTGGTAGGATAGACTTAATGGGTAATATCAACTGTTAAGTTTTCTTTTTTGTTTTTCTTTTATTTATTTGTATTAAAATACCATAATAAATAAGACCCTTGATTTCACTCCTTCACCCTTGTTTTGGCAGGTCATGACCTAGTATTTTGTTCTGAGAGAATGGCAACTTTGCATTGCAACATCATTCCATTTTATATATGCAGTACAGATAGTTTGTAGCGTTCACTAGAATGTCGTCCTGCTTTAAGAACACTTTACCACTGTAATCAACTTATTTTACAATCATTTAATACTTGGTTGTACGTTTTGAGAATAAATATTTTTAAAAAAAATATGTGTTGCACCTGCCATTCACCTTGAATTCTGTCGTAGGAATTTCCCCCATGATAATTAATGATAGCTTTGATGTAAATATACTTACAGTATTCCGTATGTTACTTTTTAACAGGTGGGCGATGCCAGGGACTATCTGCCTTTGTTTATAGAGGCCCACAATAGGGGGCTGAAGCTTACCTTACATTTGGCAGAGGTAATCCACTTAACATATCCCTAAGGACCCTTATGATTTGTTCTATTGTTAATTGTATGCTATATGAGATAAACGTACTTGTAAGAGGGTATACAGAGCTACAGCCAAGTTCTAACATGGAAATATTTCATAAAGTTGGCAACATTTCACGAATGTTCCTTAAGAACATTTCTTTACTTCAGTTTTTCATAAGAAAGCATTTCATGAGTTAAGTATGAATGTTAAGGTAGGAGGACTTCCTTAACTTCAGTAACCCCATAGTCAAGTCTCAGTTAAGTATGAATGTTAAGGTTGGAGGACTTCCTTAACTTCAGTAACCCCCTAGTCAAGTCTCAGTTAAGTATGAATGTTAAGTTTGGAGGACTTCCTTAACTTCAGTAACCCCAAAGTCAAGTCTCAGTTAAGTATGAATGTAAAGGTTGGAGGACTTCCTTAACTTCAGTAACCCCATAGTCAAGTCTCAGTTAAGTATGAATGTTAAGGTTGGAGGACTTCCTTAACTTCAGTAACCCCATAGTCAAGTCTCAGTTAAGTATGAATGTTAAGGTTGGAGGACTTCCTTAACTTCAGTAACCCCATAGTCAAGTCTCAGTTAAGTATGAATGTTAAGGTTGGAGGACTTCCTTAACTTCAGTAACCCCATAGTCAAGTCTCAGTTAAGTATGAATGTTAAGGTTGGAGGACTTCCTTAACTTCAGTAACCCCATAGTCAAGTCTCAGTTAAGTATGAATGTTAAGGTTGGAGGACTTCCTTAACTTCAGTAACCCCATAGTCAAGTCTCAGTTAAGTATGAATGTTAAGGTTGGAGGACTTCCTTAACTTCAGTAACCCCATAGTCAAGTCTCAGTTAAGTATGAATGTTAAGGTTGGAGGACTTCCTTAACTTCAGTAACCCCATAGTCAAGTCTCAGTTAAGTATGAATGTTAAGGTTGGAGGACTTCCTTAACTTCAGTAACCCCATAGTCAAGTCTCAGTTAAGTATGAATGTTAAGGTTGGAGGACTTCCTTAACTTCAGTAACCCCATAGTCAAGTCTCAGTTAAGTATGAATGTTAAGGTTGGAGGACTTCCTTAACTTCAGTAACCCCATAGTCAAGTCTCAGTTAAGTATGAATGTTAAGGTTGGAGGACTTCCTTAACTTCAGTAACCCCATAGTCAAGTCTCAGTTAAGTATGAATGTTAAGGTTGGAGGACTTCCTTAACTTCAGTAACCCCATAGTCAAGTCTCAGTTAAGTATGAATGTTAAGGTTGGAGGACTTCCTTAACTTCAGTAACCCCATAGTCAAGTCTCAGTTAAGTATGAATGTTAAGGTTGGAGGACTTCCTTAACTTCAGTAACCCCAATGTCAAGTCTCAGTTAAGTATGAATGTTAAGGTTGGAGGACTTCCTTAACTTCAGTAACCCCAAAGTCAAGTCCATTACTTAAATCAAGGATCAGTCATTGGGGCCTGAAAAACAATTTGTTTCACAAAGAAAAACTTGTGTCCTATTGCTGTTGTGTTTTGACTTTGAATTTCAGACTGTTGTTTTTGTAGTGATGCCATGGTGTACTAGCACGTATTAGCTTTAGGAAATCATTTGTCATACATCAACATATAGCATATAGACCAGGTACCTTTTTACAAATTGTTGAAATATAGGAATGAAATACTATTTAGAAACAAATACTAGTTAGAATTTAAAAGCTAATGTGAAAAAACGAATAAGCCATTCCTTAAGAATAGACAAGATTTTTATTAGTGGCAGAAATATGTATGGTTTATTGTTAGATATAAATATACATATTCATGCTTTTGAGAAAATATTTGTCGTGGTTAAATAAATTTGTAGGTCATGACACATGTTTCTGTAGTTTTACATTAACTTTAAATATACATATTTTTCAATATACTGAAAAAATAGTTAATATAAGAAACTTGTTCCTTCTTGTTAAATATAGGTGCCTGCCCCTGAAGAAACGAAAGATATACTGAAGGAGTTAGGGACAAGGACAGGTCGGATTGGGCATGGGACATGTCTACAGACAGAGTGTGGAGGCAATCAGACCCTTGTCGACCTAGTGCTGCAGCACAGGATACCCCTAGGTCAGTAATAAAAACAAGTAATAAAGGGCTACACTAGGTCAGTAATAATACAGGGTAACACATGGTTACACTAGGTCAGTAATAATACTTGGTAACACATGGTTACAATAGGTCAGTAATAATACAGGGTAACACTAGGTTAGTTATAATACAGGGTTACCCTAGGTCAGTAATAATACAGGGTAACACTAGGTCAGTAATAATACAAGTAATACAGGGTTACACTGGGTCAGTAATAATACAGGGTAACACATGGTTACACTGGGTCAGTAATAATACAGGGTGACACTAGGTTAGTTATAATACAGGGTTACCCTAGGTCAGTAATAATACAGGGTAACACTAGGTCAGTAATAATACAAGTAATACAGGGTTACACTGGGTCAGTAATAATACAGGGTAACACATGGTCACACTTGGTCAGTAATAACACATGGTTACACTAGGTCGGTAATAATACAGGGTATCACTAGGTCAGTAATGATACAGGGTATCGCTAGGTCAGTAATGATACAGGGTAACACTAGGTCAGTAATAATACAAGTAATACAGGGTTACACTGGGTCAGTAATAATACAGGGTAACACATGGTCACACTCGGTCAGTAATAACACATGGTTACACTAGGTCGATAATAATACAGGGTATCACTAGGTCAGTAATAATACTGGGTATCACTAGGTCAGTAATAATACAGGGTAACACTAGGTCAGTAATAATACAGGGTAACACTAGGTCAGTAATGATACAGGGTATCACTAGGTCAGTAATGATACAGGGTATCGCTAGGACAGTAATGATACAGGGTTACACTAGGTCAGTAATAATAAAGGGTTACACTAAGTCAGTTATAATACAGGGTTACACTAGGTCAGTAATGATACAGGGTAACACTAGGTCAGTAATAATACAGGGTTACCCTAGGTCAGTAATAATACAGGGTATAACTAGGTCAGTAATAATACAGGGTATCACTAAGTCAGTAATGATACAGGGTATCACTAGGTCAGTAATAATACATGGTATCACTAGGTCAGTAATAATACAGGGTTACACTAGGTCAGTAATAATACATGGTATCACTAGGTCAGTAATAATACATGGTATCACTAAGTCAGTAATGATACAGGGTAACCCTAGGTCAGTAATAATACAAGTAATACAGGGTTACTCTGGGTCAGTAATAATACAGGGTAACACATGGTCGCACTTGGTCAGTAATAACACATGGTTACACTAGGTCGGTAATAATACAGGGGATCACTAGGTCAGTAATGATACAGGGTATCGCTATGTCAGTAATGATACAGGGTTACACTAGGTCAGTAATAATACATCGTATCACTAAGTCAGTAATGATACAGGGTATCTCTAGGTCAGTAATAATACAGGGTATCCCTAGGTAAGTAATAATTCAGGGTATCACCAAGTCAGTAATGATACAGGGGAACCCTAGGTCAGTAATAATACAGGGTATCATAACACATGGTTACACTAGGTCGGTAATAATACAGGGGATCACTAGGTCAGTAATGATACAGGGTATCGCTAGGTCAGTAATGATACAGGGTAACACTAGGTCAGTAATAATACAGGGTAGTATCACTAGGTCAGTAATGATACAGGGTTACACTAGGTCAGTTATAATACAGGGTATCACTAGGTCAGTAATGATACAGGGTATCACTAGGTCAGTAATAATACATGGTATCACTAAGTCAGTAATGATACAGGGTATCACTAGGTCAGTAATAATACAGGGTAACACTAGGTCAGTAATGATACAGGGTATCACTAAGTCAGTAATGATACAGGGTTACCCTAGGTCAGTAATGATACAGGGTTACCCTAGGTCAGTAATAATACAGGGTATCACTAGGTCAGTAATAATACAGGGTATCACTAGGGCAGTAATGATACAGGGTTACACTAGGTCAGTAATAATACAGGGTATCATTAAGTCAGTAATGATACAGGGGAACCCTAGGTCAGTAATAATACAGGGTATCACTAGGTCAGTAATGATACAGGGTATCACTAGGTCAGTAATAATACATGGTATCACTAAGTCAGTAATGATACAGGGTATCACTAGGTCAGTAATAATACAGGGTAACACTAGGTCAGTAATGATACAGGGTATCACTAAGTCAGTAATGATACAGGGTTACCCTAGGTCAGTAATGATACAGGGTTACCCTAGGTCAGTAATAATACAGGGTATCACTAGGTCAGTAATAATACAGGGTATCACTAGGGCAGTAATGATACAGGGTTACACTAGGTCAGTAATAATACAGGGTATCATTAAGTCAGTAATGATACAGGGGAACCCTAGGTCAGTAATAATACAGGGTATCACTAGGTCAGTAATGATACAGGGTATCACTAGGTCAGTAATAATACATGGTATCACTAAGTCAGTAATGATACAGGGTATCACTAGGTCAGTAATAATACAGGGTAACACTAGGTCAGTAATGATACAGGGTATCACTAAGTCAGTAATGATACAGGGTTACCCTAGGTCAGTAATGATACAGGGTTACCCTAGGTCAGTAATAATACAGGGTATCACTAGGTCAGTAATAATACAGGGTATCACTAGGGCAGTAATGATACAGGGTTACACTAGGTCAGTAATAATACAGGGTATCATTAAGTCAGTAATGATACAGGGGAACCCTAGGTCAGTAATAATACAGGGTATCACTAGGTCAGTAATGATACAGGGTATCACTAGGTCAGTAATAATACATGGTATCACTAAGTCAGTAATGATACAGGGTATCACTAGGTCAGTAATAATACAGGGTAACACTAGGTCAGTAATGATACAGGGGAACCCTAGGTCAGTAATAATACAGGGTATCACTAGGTCAGTAATGATACAGGGTATCACTAGGTCAGTAATAATACATGGTATCACTAAGTCAGTAATGATACAGGGTATCACTAGGTCAGTAATAATACAGGGTAACACTAGGTCAGTAATGATACAGGGTATCACTAAGTCAGTAATGATACAGGGTTACCCTAGGTCAGTAATGATACAGGGTTACCCTAGGTCAGTAATAATACAGGGTATCACTAGGTCAGTAATAATACAGGGTATCACTAGGGCAGTAATGATACAGGGTTACACTAGGTCAGTAATAATACAGGGTATCATTAAGTCAGTAATGATACAGGGGAACCCTAGGTCAGTAATAATACAGGGTATCACTAGGTCAGTAATGATACAGGGTATCACTAGGTCAGTAATAATACATGGTATCACTAAGTCAGTAATGATACAGGGTATCACTAGGTCAGTAATAATACAGGGTAACACTAGGTCAGTAATGATACAGGGTATCACTAAGTCAGTAATGATACAGGGTTACCCTAGGTCAGTAATGATACAGGGTTACCCTAGGTCAGTAATAATACAGGGTATCACTAGGTCAGTAATAATACAGGGTATCACTAGGGCAGTAATGATACAGGGTTACACTAGGTCAGTAATAATACAGGGTATCATTAAGTCAGTAATGATACAGGGGAACCCGAGGTCAGTAATAATACAGGGTATCACTAGGTCAGTAATAATACAGGGTATCACTAAGTCAGTAATGATACAGGGTTACACTAGGTCAGTAATAATACAGGGTAACACTAGGTCAGTAATAATACAGGGTATCACTAAGTCAGTCATGATACAGGGTTACCCTAGGTCAGTAATAATACAGGGTATCACTAGGTCAGTAATCATACAGGGTTACTCTAGGTCAGTAATAATACAGGGTATCACTAAGTCAGTAATGATACAGGGTTACCCTAGGTCAGTAATGATACAGGGTTACCCTAGGTCAGTAATAATACAGGGTATCACTAGGTCAGTAATCATACCGGGTTACTCTAGGTCAGTAATAATACAGGGTATCACTAAGTCAGTAATGATACAGGGTTACCCTAGGTCAGTAATGATACAGGGTTACCCTAGGTCAGTAATAATACAGGGTATCACTAGGTCAGTAATAATACAGGGTATCACTAGGGCAGTAATGATACAGGGTTACACTAGGTCAGTAATAATACAGGGTATCACTAAGTCAGTAATGATACAGGGGAACCCGAGGTCAGTAATAATACAGGGTATCACTAGGTCAGTAATGATACAGGGTATCACTAAGTCAGTAATGATACTGGGTTACACTAGGTCAGTAATAATACATGGAATCACTAATTCAGTAATGATACAGGGTATCACTAGGTCAGTAATGATACAGGGTTACACTAGGTCAGTGATAATACAAGGTATCACTAGGTCAGTAATAATACAGGGTAACACTAGGTCAGTAATAATACAGGATATCACTAGGTCAGTAATGATACAGGGTTACACTAGGTCAGTAATAATACATGGTATCACTAAGTCAGTAATGATACAGGGTATCACTAGGTCAGTAATAATACAGGGTAACACTAGGTCAGTAATAATACAGGGTATCACTAGGTCAGTAGTGATACAGGGTTACCCTAGGTCAGTAATGATAGAGGGTTACCCTATGTCAGTAATAATACAGGGTATCACTAGGTCAGTAATAATACATGGTATCACTAGGTCAGTAATAATACAGGGTTACACTAGGTCAGTAATAATACAGGGTAACTCTAGGTCAGTAATAATACAGGGTAACACTAGGTCAGTTATAATACAGGGTAACCTTAGGTCAGTAGTAATAAAGGTAAACAGACACCTGTATAGCTTAAAATATATGAATATTAATAAATACACAATGTCTTTCCTATTGCTGTCGTGTTTTGACTTTTAATTTCAGACTATTGTTTTTGTAGTGATGCCATGGTGTACTAGCACGTTTTAGCTTTAGGAAATCATTTGTCATACATCAACATGGAGCACAGACCACCTTTTTTTTGTTACAAGGTTTATAAACAGATCATTTATACCACTTGAGGATTCTCAGCTACTCTCAGCCACCTTTTTGCACCCGAAATTTGAACATCATTCTTATATTGAATTTCCTAATTAATGAATTTCTGTGCAACATTCTCAATCAGTTTCAGAGAGTTCCACAGCCCTCGTTGTGGCAGTATGCCTTCTCCTTCATGTATACTGAGTAACTAGATGTCTTTCAGGTTGAGGCAAGGAATTTAAATATGTCAAGCAGCAAGGACACTAGCAAATTGGTCTTGATCAAACTAATATAATAAATTTATTTCAAGTTGATGGCCATAATCGTGTTAATTATATTTGTGACAATTTTAGAATAATATAGTTCCTCAGCCCTCGTGGCATTACTTCCTTCCGTGTGGATATTGAGAAACTTTTACCTCCGTTTTTTTTTCATCTATGAAATTTATGCATTACAAGGTCCTCGTCCAACGCTGCTTGATTTTCATCTATCGGATACTACAGAGCAATTCTCTACCCTGGTTAGCCTCCGCTGACCATCTATTTCAAATTAATGTACACAATATTTATAGATCAAGAGCAGCTGAGATAATCTTCAAGCAAAGTAGAGATAGTGTTTTAGATTGTAATGTGTATGTATATGTTGTTTTGTATCTACTGTCTTATTATCTCCTCGCAGCAAAAGTTCAAGTGATATATATAGGATTCTGCCCGTACGTACATTGTATGTTCGTATGATACACTCTTTGTCATCACTATACCGACTTCATTCCTCAAAGGAATTTCATGAAACTTCATACAAGAGTTGGTATTTGGCAATGCCTTCAACAAGTTCTTGTTTTGGGTTTCTACGTTTAAGGTCAAGATCACTGTTACTATTTTTAGAAAAATCTTTCACACCACTCTTGCAACTTCATTTCCTCTTACATAGGTCACAATTTGTGAATGCGAAAGGATTTGTATCACTTGTGATGCCTTGTTATTATTATTGGTATACATACTGAATAATGATAAGCTTTTCAGATGAAGATATGTTCAAGGTTTTGACAGTAGCTGACATTGTCTGTAGTTGTATACTTTCTTTGTGTAGACTATTTCAAATATCAGTGCAGTTTCGTGTACTTACTATAGATTTTTTAACCAAACAGTAAAAAAGCACAACGCACAACACTGCAAACAATTCATTTAAATGTTGAGGCGTCACATCCCTCGTTTTCTCAGCACCCACATCAGACAACATCATGACTTTTCAATGCACACCTTATATTCATGTATAATTACTCATTATATTATGTGCTGCCTTTTTCTTTCAGTTTTAAAATTATTTTGGAGAATGAAATTTCGATTTGAAATTATACTGTTAATTCTATGCAGCAAATTTGAATTTAACACTACTTGTTAAAATTATTTACAATCATAATGAATTAAAGTGTTTAGAGCTTCACTTTATTGACCAGCAAAATAATTGCAAAGAAAAAAGAACATAAAAAAATGTATTGAAGCATTGATCACAGTATTTAATTCTTGCAGAGCTCTGTTTAACATCCAATGTCAAAGGTCAGACAGTGCCAAACTACGATCAGCATCAGTTCCAGTTCTGGTACAACAAAAATCATCCCTGTATCATAGGCGTAAGTATACATCATGGATGTTTATGTATTTAACAGGTGTAACTGTATACGTTGGTATTTAGGAACTTCAGAGTTGTAAGTGTACATAGTTGTTGGTGTTTATGTACTTCAGAGGTGTAAGTCTACTTCACAGGTGTAAGTGTACATTGTTGGTGCTTATATACTTCACAGGTGTAAGTGTACATAGTTGGTGTTTATGTACTTCACAGGTGTAAGTGTACATATATTGTAGTTGGTGTTTATGTACTTCACAGGTTTAAGTGTACATAGTTGGTGTTTATGTACTTCACAGGACTTGTATTTGTACAATGTTGGTACTTATGTACTTCACAGGTGTAAGTGTATATTGTTGGTGCTTATGTACTTCACAAGTGTAAGTCTACATACATGAAGTTGGTGTTTATGTACTTTACAAGTGTACGTGTCACAGGTGTAAGCGTACATCATAGATGTTTATGTATTTCATATGTGTATTTTTTTACGTTTTTTTAGGTCACCTGAGCTTTAGCTCAAGTGACCTATTGCTATCCGTTTTGGTCGGTCCTCGTCCGTCGTCCGTCGTCCGTTAACATTTTACATTTTAAACTTAAAGTCAAGTTCTGCTAGGCCGATTGAACTGAAACTTTGCAGGAATGATTGACTGATGGTCCTGACAAAGTGTTGTTATTTTTCGGGTCGATCAGAAATCAAATATGCCCGCCACGGCCGCCATTTTGAAAAACTGTGTCAAACTTAAAGTCAAGTTCTGCTAGGCCGATTGAACTGAAACTTTGCAGGAATGATTGACTGATGGTCCTGACAAAGTGTTGTTATTTTTTGGGTCAATCAGAAATCCAATATGGCCGCCACGGCCGCCATTTTCAAAACCTATTTCAAACTTAACGTCAAATTCTGCTGGACCAATTGAAGTGAAAGTTGGTTGGAATGATCGCCTCATGGTCCTGACAAAGTTAAGTTAGCATTATACTATTGTTTACTCAAATTGGTACATATTTCAACAACAAAAATAAATATTGTAGGTGTATCATAGGCGTAAGTATACATCATGGATGTTTATGTATTTAACAGGTGTAACTGTATACTTTGGTATTTAGGAACTTCAGAGTTGTAAGTGTACATAGTTGTTGGTGTTTATGTACTTCAGAGGTGTAAGTCTACTTCACAGGTGTAAGTGTATATTGTTGTTGCTTATGTACTTCACAAGTGTAAGTCTACTTACATGAAGTTGGTGTTTATGTACTTCACAGGTTTAAGTGTACATAGTGGGTGTTTATGTACTTCACAGGACTTGTATTTGTACAATGTTGGTACTTATGTACTTCACAGGTGTAAGTGTATATTGTTGGTGCTTATGTACTTCCCACGTGTAAGTCTACATACATGAAGTTGGTGTTTATGGACGGTACAAGTGTACGTGTCACAAGTGTAAGCGTACATCATAGATGTTTAATTATTTCATATGTGTATTTTTTTTCTTTTTTTTAGGTCACCTGAGCTTTGGCTCAAGTGACCTATTGCTATCCGTTTTCGTCCGTCCTCGTCCGGCGTCCGTCGTCCGTCGTCCGTTAACATTTTACATTTTAAACTTAAAGTCAAGTTCTGCTGGACCGATTGAACTAAAAGTTGGTAGGAATGATCAGCTCATGGTCCTGACAAAGTTAAGTTAGCATTATACTATTGTTTACTCAAATTGGGACATATTTCAACAACAAAAATAAATATTGTAGGACTCAGGTGACAGGTAAGGTCCATGGGCCTCTTGTTTTTTATGTGTATTTTTTTACGTTTTTTTAGGTCCCCTGAGCTTTAGCTCAAGTAACCTATTGCTATCCGTTTTCGTCCGTCCTCGTCCGGCGTCCGTCGTCCGTCGTCCGTTAACATTTTACATTTCAACCTCAAAGCCAAGGTCTGCTGGGCCGATTGAACTGAAAGCTGGTAGGAATGATCGCCTCATGGTCCTGACAAAGTTAAGTTAGCATTATACTATTGTTTACTCAAATTGGGACATATTTCAACAACAAAAATAAATATTGTAGGACTTAGGTGACCGTTAAGGCCCATGGGCCTCTTGTTTTTTAGTAAATTCATGTCCTACATGCTGTATTAACAGCTAATTAGGTCATTTAAGGATGTGCCTCCATACGTTATGTAGGGATGTATGTGTGCTGGAGATAGGGTATGTTCTTGTAAATCCTTCCTTACCATAGCGCAGATCTGATGCCAACTTTATAGTGCTACTTCAATGAAATGTAATGCCACAGGAACCCAGCACAGCTTTCCTGGTCACATTATACTGACAATGAGTTAACCAGGTGTTGCTATTCCCCCTAAATACTGAGCGTTAGGCAGGGCATACATGTACCAACTACCATTTTCAATAACTGGTATGTCCCGGCATTGGGACACAATTGTTAAACATAAATTTATTTTGGTCGATTATATGTCCCCAAGCTTAAGTAGAGGCCACAAATGCACATCCTCAATTCTGCATAAGGTTCCAACATTAGTCGCCTTTTACGATCAAGCAGGTGGGTTCTTTTCTCAATACCCAACCTTCAGAGGTGCACTTATGTAAGTGTACATTACAGAAGGTTATGTGTTCAAAGTGTGTTGTGTACATCGCAGATATTTATTTTCTTCACAGGTGTAAGTGTTCATCATATATTTTTATGAACTTCTCAGGTGTACATATGTACGTGTACATCAAAGATGTTTATGTACTTCACATATGTTAATGTACACATAGGTATACTGTATGTGTCTAAGCTATACAATTTTGTTTTAAATCGCCACAATATACGGTGATTGATATCAATCAAATGCTCGCTACCATCGAGTTGCAAAGTACGTGTGCAGTGACTGATCTCAATCAAATGAAAACTGCAATCGCATTGCAAAGTATTTAGTGCAGTAAGCACTCAAGCTCACAGTGACTGATCTCAATAAAATTAGCACTACGTTCGAGTTGTTATGTATATGTGTAGTGTCTGATCGACAGCTGAGTTGCAATGTATTTAGTTCAGTGACTGATCTAACATAAACACCATAACTTAGTTACAATGCATGCGCGCATAACAGTGACTGTTGTGAATCAAACGAACACTACAAACGAGATACATTGTATAACATTGACGTACAAACACGATGAAAAGTTAAATATGAAGTACACACTTATTAAACATCTTTTGGAGTAGGAAGATTTGTTTGTATTATTGTGAACATATTTTGCAATCAGATTACGACGATAAGGAATGTTCGGTTAAGTGCTAACATACACAGTTTAAGGCTGCAAAGTGTTACATGACAAACATTATGTTTATTGCTTACGTAGTTCTTCCGCTAGAAACTTTCAACATTACCGAGAGATATTGTATAAAAACCTCCATCCAGTAAGATCAATGACGAAAATATTTAGTGGTATCCTTTGTCCCACTAACAGCTGCTTTCATCTCCATCCTGATTTCTTGGATGCCAATCATTTCTATTGATATACTGAACGAGTATTGCGGTGTATCCAGGTTTCAATGATATTGAGTCATATTTTGCTATAAAACACACATCGATGTGGTAAATGGCCATTCTCATAGCACATATGTTACACCGCGGATGCCTCATTCATTGCCAATCTCGTCAACTTTATTAGGTACTTCCCTAAATTGAATTTGATAGAAACTACTTTAGATTTATCAACATGAAAGACATGATTTATGATAGCAATCAACGTGTGTTACGTCAGTTTGCAGATTGTTGATCATCTTTGGCCAGCCCTTACGACTCGCAGAACGGCCTCACAACGTGAGCTGTTGATCACAATCCTAGTTGAGATTGTGATAGCTATATCGACACAGATGAACGCGCGATAGAAAGGGTCCCTGTCAGTGTGTCATCTGATTTAATTTTCCTCAAGGGTACGCAGCATTAATGTAATAAAATATGTGATATGCCTGCGAGGAGTAGGTAAAATGCCGTGAACAAGTCCATGGACGTTACGAGTCATATTTGGTTTTCATTCGGGCATTGCATTTACTACAGTGTACCTTCAGTCCCTTAGGAATACTAACGTTAGTGCAGGCAAATTCGCCATGCACCCAAATTCGCCACCCTGTGACGAAAATGCCATATGACGTCATAATACATAAAATGTGACGTAAATAACGTCACCATAGTATTCAACACAGTTAAAGCCTTCAAATATTTTGACAAGAAGAGGTATAAGAAGGGAAAAGCTATACTTTTAATCAAAACAGTTATGAAATATCTTGTAACACAACGAAACTTAAAAAATTGGTCTGTGCGACGGACATCTCGTCAACTAAACTCATTAATCTGAGGCCAGTTGGTTGTTATTTAGTGTAAATTTATTACACACACATGAAAATACCCATATCTTAACGCTAATTGCAGTTAATGCAAGTAAATTGTTTTTCTACAAGTGTACTTTGTACATGTACAATGTACTGACGATCCACTGCGTGTTTATGGAAATGATGATCGGAAAGATTCGCGATTTGATAATTCGTCAGTTTCCATTTTCATGCAATGTGTATTTAGAATACAATCAACCAGTATCTTTTTAAAAGTATTGTTTGCGTCTTACATTCAACAATCTTACAACACTTAAATTAAAATACCATCTAGAAATTTTCTAGATTTATATCTGAAAGGAATTAGTTGTCGGCCTGAAAGTACTGCTGTACAATCGCATGCTGATTGTACGTAGAGACCGACATTTACCAAAGAATGAGTTTTACATGAAAAAGTAAGTACATTTACAACACCTGGCCGGGCAGTCTTTGTTGAATAAGTTTTCAAGCCCAAGAAAATCGTTTTTATTTGTCAGATGTTTCCCGTTGACGTGCAAGACTATCGGATACGTACATATGTGACAAATTATCCAAAAAGACGGGGGGCGATCGTTGAAAGCCCTGGACCCTCTCATCCTGACCCGATAAAAATTATAATATTGGGCAGCGATTTGGAAGTTTATATTTGTTAAGGAC